AACAGCACTCGGCTTCGAGCCTGCCCCGGAAAAAAAAAAAAAAAAGCGTTTTTTGCTTCGCTTTGCTTTGCTTTGCATTTGGCTTTGCATTAGGGGCATAGCGCCGAATGGCGCCGAAACGCCGGTCAGTAGACTGCCCCAGCTGGTTGGTTCTCTTGGCAGCCTGGAGTGCAACAAACACAGTGTACAGGTAGCCGAAATAAACGTGACGCAAACATTCCCCAAAGGCAAGTAGTTCCCCGCGTTCCAAGCTCCCTTGCAAACAGGCTGAAAAGCATGCCGCAGCCTGTTGCAAAGTGCAGACTCATACTCTGTAGAGGCGCCGAAAGGTGGTTCTACATCCCCTTCCGGTTGTTAAACCCTACACTGCAAGTCACCTCTTTCTCTCTTCTACTTCTATGGGTTATGCAGAGCTGCCAGGGCTAGGCCACACACCCGCAAGGTTCGGACTCTTCTTCTTCTTCTATTCGCTACGCCAACCCAGAAGGAGCCAGCCGGGGCTACGCCGCTACGCCCGCAAGCCAAGCGCGTGTCCGGTCTGTCAGGTCGGTACAGGCGAGGCCGGGATACTCCCCATACAGAAGATCTAATTCCCTCTCTCTTCCTTCCGTCCACGGGCTGGTCGGGGCACTGCCCGAGCCCAGTATGTTCAGTCTGCGCGGTCGGGACTAGCGAATACCCAGACCCCACACTCAGGCAGCCTGCATCATCAAATCTAAGTAAAGGGCAAATATATCTGTAGACTCCTCTGCGGCTTCCCAACTGTCGGACCCTCTCCTCAAGCTGGCTGTGAAACTAGGCACCCTGGGAAGTCCACCTGTCGTAGCTGGACCGCATCCTTCTGCAACTTCAACCTAACAAGTAACGACCCCTACTGCCTACAAGCCTAGGATGCTTTGCCACAGGTGCTTTACAGGACTTTTTCTCCAGGTCGCCTGCTGCTGGGTGCCGGCTTCCAGCACAACACCATGGGCCATCAACACAATATTACGTACTCAGCAGCCAGCATGCAAAAACCCTCGTGCCAGATTGGAGTGGGCCTCTCTGTAACAGCAAACAAAGTGTTCATGACTGGCCTGGTTGAAGTAATGCCAGATACGTACAGTTGTAGGCTCGCCGCCATTCTAATGGAGTCATGGGACCACATGATACGCCTCATGACCAAGCAAGGGCAAACTCTGGATGCAAGCCCCTCCCTTCCCTCTCTCTCTTCTTCTTCTTTTGCGGCTTATGCAAGACCCTAAGGCCCTGCTGGGGCGAACCCCAAGCCCTGCGCTCTGTCCATGAGTCCCTTCCCAGGAGGCCCTCTCTCTCTCTCTCTTTCTCGCTCTCTCCCTCTCTGAGACTGCCCAGCAGTCAACTTTGGTAGCTTACGTGGGCGCAATTAAGACTTCAAACAATTTTGCATTTACACCCTCTGTTTGATGCTATGGTCCAGGGACATAGATTTTGTGCTCGCTTGGTTTGGGACATGCGGTTGAAGTCATATTTGCAGTCGCTTACTGCGAGCTTGTGTGGTTTAGGGGTCTCGAATTGGCAAGGCCTGGAGG